TCGGTATCCCCTAAAATCTGGAGGGTATCCAAGGAAGATGCATCTAACGGATCTTGGGTGTAATTTGTGGGGTTGGGTTGCAGAGGTATTGGGATAACAAGCACACCCGAACAAGTGATCTTTATGTCGGGTGGCGGGAGATTAAGGCAAAAGTGGTGTGAAAAATAATTGAGACGTCTTGGGTTGGAAGATTATGGAGATAGGCAGCAGTTGTGAAGTGCTTCGACCACAAAACATAGGTGGTAATTGAGCATGGATGAGGAGTGAGCGGATGATGTCGTTGAGACGACGAATCATGCGTTCAGCCCGACCATTTTGGGAAGATGTTTGGGGGCATGAAAAATGGAATAACAGACCATGTTGTTGGGCAAAAATTTTGAAGTTATGGTTGTCAAATTCTCCCCCCAAGTCACATTGAAAAGTTTTGATATTGCGGTTGAATTGGGTGGCTATGAGTTTATGGAATTTAGTAAAGGTGGTGAAAGTTTCAGATTTGAACTTGAGAGGGTATACCCACACATAATTGGAAAAATATTAAGCACCATGTAGTATTTATATCCAGATTTGGGTTGGAATAGGGAGGTCCACAAGTTCACAGTGTCATATTCAAATGGTTTGAAAAAGTAAAGGAATTTTGACTCATTTAAAAGGTAATCGTTTTGCGTATTTAGCATAAATGACAAGAATTACAAAAAATAAATGCTTGGGTTCTTCTTATTACAGGAGACCAAACTGTTTGGTTAAAACATCTTAAAAACTTGTTTGCCAGGGTGACCGAGGCATCGTGCCAAGGTAAATGGAGATGTAGATTTGAACAAGCTGTGGTGGTAGGTTGGTGGAGTTGACAGGATAGAGATCTTCGTACTATTTGTGGGGGTAAAGGAAGCTGTTCCCGTTTTGAGGTCCTTCGAAAGAGGAAACAAAAAGGGGTTCAATTCAACAGAAATATTATTATCGGTGTAACGGCAGACAGATAATTAAAATTTTAAAAATTTTTAATGATATGTGGGCTGTAAAGTATGTTTGGGAGGATGTATGTACGGTTAAGGATGGGAAGGTAACCTGTTCCTGAGCCCTCAATTGGTAAATAGTGTCCGTTGCCGACTAAAAGTTTAGTGTTAACAGGAAAAGAGTCAGGGTTGTGAATCATACCTCGGTTGTCGGTGACATGACGTTCTGCCCCTGTATCCATGATCAGATTTGGATCTGTGTAGTTGAGTTGCATCGTGTTATAAACTTGGCTGAGATCGGAAGGACTTAAAGCATCATATCCAGTATGCGGTGGAGGGGGATATGGTGGTGCTGGGCCGTATGGCTGCTGTTCTAAATAAGCGGCATAATGGGCATTGGGTGTGTTTTGAATATGATTTGGTGGCCATGGAGTTTGTGTTGGGTAGGGACAAGGTGGAGTGTTCCACCAAGCCCATTTTGGGTAGGTTTGATTGGCGGACTGAGTTTGATTGGCGGATTGATGTGTTATAGCCCAAGGAGTCCCCGTAGAGTTTCCCCTGTAGCCGCGTCCTCTGCCTCTGCCACGTCTGCCTCGACCACGGCCTCTATAATTGCTCCTATATTGGAGTGGTAAAGAAACTGTTGTGAGGCCCTGATTGTTTTCAAGGTTGTTGAGTTGCGGATCGGACTGGGTTTGGGGTTTGGTTTGTCTGCATGGTTGGAGCGATAAGGACAGAGGTGGTTTGTTGTCGTGCAGCCTGGCGAATGACCTCATCATTCAACATGGTTCGTGCAAGGTCCCAATCTGCGTTTTGTGAGTTAATAAGAGAAGCTATGGCGTCGAATTCTTGAGGAAGGCCACGAACCAGTTGTAAGACCAATCGAGATTCTGTAACTGGTTAGTCAACATCGTTCAGTTGGTCGGCGATGTCTTTCAATTTCTTGCAGTAATCATCAACGGAACTGCAGGCTGCAAGGGTGAGATTAATGAATTTTGTTTCAAGAGCTGCCGCTTTTGCTTTCTTGTTGCTAAGGAAGATTTTCTCAAGTTTCAGCCATGTTTGTTTTCAGCAATGTTTTTCTAGCCGTAGCTTCAAGTGTCGAAGGATGCGGGTGAGCAGTTCTCAGACCACGATACTGTAAATCCATTGAGACGCCAAGGCATCTAATTTCTTCGCAAGGCACTGTAATGATGGATCTGTAGAGGCGGGGGGTGGCGTGTCAACTCAAGTGATCAAGAAACAACGGTATGTCAATAGAATGAAAACTTTGAATAATTTCCACCCATGATTGTAATGTAAATGTGCTATCCATCTAGGGTGCTTAATTTTTGATTGGATGTTCAGTCAGAACAAAGAGTAGGCAGGGTGAATGGGGGTGGGTGTTTTAGGGTTGGAGGTCGAAGATGGGACTTCTGTTTGTGTCATGGCTATCGGCGGCAGCAGCTAAAAAAAAATATGGGAGAGAAAGGAGAGGGAGGGAATTCAGAACTGAAGCTCTGATACCATGAAAGTGTTTGAGGATTTTGAATTCTTGATGATTTTGTATTGATGTCCAAGACCTTTTAAATAGGGAGAATACAAACAGAATATGGAAAGGAATTACAGAGATTAATTACAGGAAATTAATTGTAATCTGTTCCTAAATCAGAGGAATGAATTACAGGAAATTAATTGTAATCTGTTCCTAAATCAGAGGAATGATCTGTGGAGATATCATCGGCTAAGAGAAAGTAATATATTTTTGAATAACATTAGCATATAAATTTTAAAGTGTTCAGTGCTTATTGGTGTAGTATTGAAGGAACGAAAAATAAGAATCCAACAACTACAACATTGCACACAGAAACTGAAAAAAGACGATCTTTAAACTCTACCACCTGAGTTTTTCTGCAGTAAATACTCCTTAAAAGAAAGAAATGACAAAAAGAAGTCATAGCTGAAGAAAGAAATGACAAAAAGAAGCCATTGCTGAAGGAAGGAACGATAAAAAGAAGCCATTACAGATATTAAGTGCCTTGAAAACAAAGATGATTCACTATTTTCAAAATATGTTCATTTCTTTTTTCCATTTTGGATTGGATTAGCTAATTCTTGATGCATTTAATAACTCAGTGCTCTTTCTCATAAAGCAGAACGAACAATTTGATTCTTCAAAAAATAACAGGCGAAATGGAAAAGGAAATTACGTTTATTTTACTGAAAATTGTCACAGTGAGAATAGAGTTCCATAAGATTTTCATTTCATTCTACAGTAAGTAATCAATTGTCCATTTTCTATTTACTCATAATCATGAATGATCTACCTACTTATATCCTACATTAAAAATTTATTAACTTATAAAACTTATGTAAGTACTTGAATTTACGATGCATTTCTTTAATTAATTATTTGAGATACTGGAGTAAAATTAAATATTATTCATGCTAATGACAAGATTATGTGTCCATCACCATGACTATTCCTTAATTATTAAAAATTCTGCATTAATGATTTTATTAATATAGACAAAAAAAACTTTTAACATTGATTTCCTGTTCACTGAAAATCAGTATGTCCAGAATTAGCTTTCATAATACTGCAAGTCATCTTCTACTAGTTGTGAAGTAAGAGGTGAGAGACTTCTACTAGTTTATATAAATTAAGAAATAACTATTCTATGATAAATTGTTGTTATTCCAGCTAGAGGAGTTAGACAAAAAATAAAAGAGATGAAATGACAGTTGTTCTGTTAATTCGTGATATGCTGTATTTATAATTTAATTTTACCTCTTAGTATTAGTATTTAAAGTCCTCAAATTATACATATTGATTACTGTAAAATAAAGTGTATTAATTTAACATTTTGATGATTTTTAATTTCTTAAAATATACTCTCTCTGTCCTAAAATATAAGTATAACGTCCCGGGCCATGGTAGATATTGTCCGCTTTGGGCCCAGCCCGCACGGTTTTGTTCTTGGGCCAGCAACACATGTTGTAACCCAAAACGCGTCTACCATGTTCTCCCAAAAACGGTACACCCATGTTCTAGGAGTGCCACCCTTTAATGTTATAGGACTTCCACCTTGTGCTTAGACCGATGTGGGATTTCGCCTAAGTCGGGTTTTTTGCAGTTTTTCCCTGACAATAAGTCGTTTAAAGTTTTTGTACAAGAATTAAGAAAGGCCAATTAGTTCTTCTAAAATTATTAACCAAATTATCCTTTTATTTCAAAACGAATATTACTTGGTCAAATATTTATCATATTAAGTGTAAACAAAGGCAATATTAAAAAACATTATTTATCACTCCTTGAAATAACAAATTCAAAACGACTTATAGCGTCTACCATGTTCTAGAGTGCCACCCTTTATGTATAGGACTTCCACCTTGTGCTTAGCCGATGTGGGATTCGCCTAAGGTGCAGTCCCTGACAATAAGTCGTTTAAAGTTTTTGTACAAGAATTAAGAAAGCAATTAGTTCTTCTAAATTATAACCAAATTATCCTTTATTTCAAAACGAATAGTTACTTGTCAAATATTTATCATATTTAGTGTAAACAAAGGCAATATTAAAAAACATTATTTATCACTCCTTGAAATAACAAATTCAAAACGACTTATATTTTGAAATAAAATAACAAATCAAAAACAACTTATATTTTAAAACAACAGGAGTATTATTAAAGTGTATATTCTTTTTTATTTTTTATTTAAGTAATATAAGCATGAAATATTAATTTGTTCAAAAAATTTTATCTTTTTTCTAAAATATTATACTTACATATTTTTTTTCATTTGATTTATTATAATGTGAAATTTAATATAACTGTTCCACACATGATCAATCGAACAAAATCATTTATTACTTTCAATTTATTATATAAAAAATAATATCATTGATGAAAAGAAAGATACAGCTATAGAGAGGATTTACAATAAAATATTTTTCTTATTGCCTTTAGTATTTGATAATTATATTTCTTGGTTTGTTCATTTTAAATTTGATGTTTTCTTTTTTTTAAAAAAAAAAAAAATTTGATTATAATTCACCATAGCACCGCGGTATAAATCTAAAATCCAATACATTTTAGGATAAACTGCTTGCGCTAAGCTTGACATTTTAGCAGAACAAGCCACTGGCCAAAACTCCATGCAGACCAGTAATGCTGTATGAGAACTGTCCAACACTCCCATTAATAAGACTTCATTTTCAATTTTTAAATAGAACAAACAAAACTAAGATTTGCAACTGACGTTCATAAGCTATTGTATCAAATTTCAGAGATAAACAAAAAGCTGATATTCCTATTAAGTTTCTTCTTCATATAAACAATGCCTCATTTAACCACCATGTTGGCAATCATGAGCTGCTTATCCAGCGGTAAATACTCTGTTAAAGATAAACATACCCGATGCATCACGCGCAATAGAAAAGCAACTGTGTCCTTTTCACTCTCGTCGATATTTTGCACACTACGTGCATCATCGACAACTATGCGGTTAACCCAATGGTATAGGCGTTCAGTTGATGTCCAAATATGAGAAGCGATTGATGTTGCAAGTATGTCCCAGTTCGGTTCTGTCAAGAGAGAGGTAAGAGTGACCGGCAGGTCACTCAATACTGTTGACCGGTCCAGAGTCAAAATGGGCATATATTTACAACAACTACCAGAAAGCAGACCAACAAAATGTAGTGCCTGCAGGAGAAAAGAACTGTCAGCCCAAACAAAATAGAGTTGGCGATTAAATAAAAACACACATTTTAAATAGAGCTGAATGATTTATAAAACCTGTAAACAAGAACAAGACTTGGCTATGAATCATATCAGTGCAAACCACAAGCCTTATTTGAATGGATTGGAGAAAATCTGCATTTAAGATCCCTTCCAAAGCCGACTAGTTTGGGTTTAAAATTTGGTTAGGCGACATTAACCAAAATGAATAGTGCCTTACCACGGTCAAAGGGTGCAATGGACAAATGACCCTTCATTATTGGCTAAATATCAAAGGAAAAAAGATTTATAAAATTAGAAAAAATCATTTGATATAAATAATATTTTCAACTCCGATCTCCCACTCCAGTCATTGCTTTTCTCTGTGTTACTTCAAACTCAAATTTTCTATATTCCCTTTTATTTCTATAAAGAGCATTATCTGTCTGTGCAGAAAAATTAGTCTGCACAACAATATTATGCTATGCTACTGAACAAACAAATCCTGCCATGCCTGTGTGCAAGAGTAGATGGTGAATAGTGTTGGAAACAATCTTGATCTGTTTTCCAACGAGTTGTGAAAAAGAACAGATCCCTACCGTGGAAGGATAACTTGATATACAGCTAATTTCAACAGCATCAACAAGCCACTGTCTTTTGACACTCCCCTCTGCACATTGCAAAGCCGCTAAAACTTCAAGAAGCACATTCCAAATACCTGCAACTATAGCAAGTTAAATTAAGCATGAAAGCATTCTCAGCAATAAATGCCTTTTAAATTTTTATTTTTATTTTTCATTTTGGGTGGGAGAAAGAAAAATAAAAAAAGAATAGGAATGAGAAAGAGAAACATAGCAACTCAAAGTTCAATTACCATTGCACATAAAATACTAATAACAATAATACTTTTTTCTAAGGAATTAATACCAACAATATTTTAATAATTATTATTTCATATTTATCCAATTACCACAACAAAACCATGCAGAGAAACTAACCATGAAACTTAGAGTTCAATATATAAGCTTTTAGCCTTCCGAGCTCAGACAATGGGATGGAACCAATCCTTACAAGCTTGGCTTTTGCTACAATCTTCTTTAGGACTTCATTAAATTGTCCATCACCTTGAACTAGATTTTCCAATGGAACCTGTGAGGTACATGAAACGAAAATATACCAAGTCATGAAACATAAAAGAAATTCAAATGACAACCTAAATTCAATAAAATCTTAATCATCAGCTAGTGGGATCGGCTGTGCATTTACAAATAAATTAACCGAATATCAGTTTAAGAAAAGAAAATTCCAAAATTTATTTCTTATAGAGACAGAAAAAAATTCATGTTCTTTCAAAAATGTTTACAAGCACAGGATTATATCTTATATAACTATAATAAATGTCTTCTTAAAAACTTTTACAACAGAAGACTCGATAAGTGATAATCACATGAACCAGATGTACATACAGGAGACAGGTGAAATGAGATAATTCAGAAAAGAAATAATCCACTATGAAAATAAATATAAACACAGTATTTACCTGCAAGAAATCCAATAGCCAATCCCTTCGAGCTTTTGCTAAGCATTTAATGAACTCATGCCACTCTTGTTCAGGGTGTAGCATACATGCTCCTAAGCTGGCAATTGATTCTGATGCAGGAAATAAAGAAAACAGCATCTCCATGCACTTTTCAACATTTAAGATGTATTCTGGAGAGCTGAGGGAAGCTTCTTCTAGGCACTGGCAGATACCTTTCCAGCATGACATTCTCAATGAAGTTTTCTGATCAGAGTTATAAATTTGTGGTGAACAATCTAAAGAAAAAAACTCAGTTATATCATCAAATAATTTTTGTAGTCTGGAACTAGAGAATATCTTTATGAGGTCAGCCAGATGTACAAGCAGACATGACTGCAGATTCAACTCTAGAGTCCTGAACCTAGGTAGCTCAGATAGTTCATCAAGGAAAATCAGGAGTGAATCAAAATGGTTTGCATGAGCAATTGAGAAATGAAGGCATTCCTCCCTAAGGGATCTCTTCTTAAAAGCTGAATCTGGTGGTAACAACTCAGAAACTCGAGCCTCGTATCTCATACAGCGCTTGATGATCGATCCCCAATCCATGGTTGGCAATCTGGGAGCTCCTACAAGACATCTCAAAACAGTTGCAACTGTGCCAACATGTGGAATAGCACCTGCCTGAAACTTGGAAAGTTGAGAAAAATTAGAAAGTTCAATCATTAGAGCATTCAAACATTATTCTCTGAATGCATAAGAAATAAGTTCCCTGAAAATATTCAACAAAGATCATGACCGACACCATATATGATTTTGATCAGCAAAGTACTATACCAAGCAACAGAATGTTGCAACAATTAACAGTTGAACTCTGTTTTTATTATTATTATTATTATTATTATTGTTGTTGTTGTTACTAATACTACTACTACTACTACTACTACTACCACTTTAGACAAAAGTTGAAGAACATCTCTGTCACAGACATATACAAACACTAAGTAGCGGTTGGTTACTGTTCTAGCAAGAACAATAGGCCAAGGTGAGAGGAGTTTGCACAACCCACTTTCTGCAGATACCCTTTTGTATATTCGTAGCCCCAATAGCAACTCCACCAAGCTCATGGATAATATGGAGTTATGGACTAACAATAATGTTTTTCTTTCAAGGAAATTAGGACAGGGCTATGCCCCTCGAGGCCATGAGAAAAGCAAATTCAAAAAAAGACATGAAAGCATAAATAAAATAAGATATATATTTCCTTTTTTTTTTTCAGATAAAAAAATATATTAATAAATAAGGGTGTACACTATGGAGGACAAGAAATCCCCATACAACAAGAGACACAACTAGCAAGAAGATACATAAAACACAAGTTCAACATAAAATATGTATATTTTCCCTTTCCTCATCTAATGATATGCCATAAGCACGGTATGCTTTCCACTGTTCGTGAATCAACCTTTCCTTCTCCTCTTTCCACCTAGAATTACAACACAGTCCGATATCTTGCAAAAGATAAAAGGGAAAACCTGTTCTCTTCTCTTTCATTGTACTTTGCATCATTCTGTTCTTCCACATAAAAAAGTTTAATGGCCAATGTGAAGCAGACTGATTTCTTTGTCTATGAAGTTAGATTTTGATTTTGCTCCAAACTTTGGAGCGACAGAATTCAAATTACTTCTGAAACTGTATAAAACATTATAACTTTATGAGAGAAGTTAGTATCTAAATCTTTCTCCCTCGCTATTCAGCCAAATGTAGGGCCAAGTTATGCTCAATCATTGGCAATATATTAACTTCACCATCAACAGAAGCCACATAATTTTAAATTATCTTGTTCCTCAGCACCTCATATTAACTGTTCCTCACTAGCCCTTTTCTAGACTAACTAAATTTGCACACAATCGAACTTCTTATCAATGTATTCATGTCTAATTTAAAGGATTACTGGAGCACAATATATTCAACTTATACTCCTCATTAAACATTTGATTGCTTAAATAACAGACTACTTGTCTTGCAGCCAAAACAGCCAACATTCTATCTTGCAACCATTCCTTTAAACAAATAAATTTACCTATAGAAAAATAACAAATTTATAAATCAAAAGTGCTGAAACAGTTTGCAACTAACAAAAATTTTATGTTGACTTCTCACTGAGCATATAACAATACAGAGAGAAAGAGCTCAACATAATGATACTCACTAACAAAGAGAACCAATTTTAAATTTGCAGATATCATGTTAAAGAACAATGTATGTTTACATCAGCATGCAGTCAGGTATGTGCAACATATACATATATGCATATATACCAACATAGAAATACATATCCACATTTATTGCATCTGAAGTTATCAAAGAGTAAAGGTAGAGGTTAAAAACTTGTATAATTTTAGATCAAGGCAGTTAAAAGATAGGAATAAAACTGTAGATAAGCATTGTATAATGGTATCACAGCAGATTAGTAGCAATGGACCTACAGCAGAATAATTCAGATGCATTAGCCACAAAGATAGCTTCATAACCAAATTATCCTCAGAAAAACTGTGAGAAACCATTTTGGAATGAGCAACATCAGTCTGAACATTGTTGTCAACATTTAGTACTTCCTTGGACCACAGAAAATTTCGGAGGAACGAAACTGCCCAAGCTGCATTTTGTTTCATTTGAAGATCATCACAATTTTGAGCTACAAGGAATATCTCTTGGATCAATGCCGTCAAATTTGGTTCACAAATAGGGTTTGAGAGTAAAGGCCCTAAGATATAAGCAGATTCCTGTCAAGCAAAATTTACAAGAACTGTTATATGAAGACAGCCATATCTCCTCATACCAAAATATCAGGAGAGGATATGATCAGACCTTTTGTTCATAACCAGTCTTCACTGAAGATGAGAAATGATGGCTAGGAAATAAAATTCCTGCACTGGCTCCCATAGCATTAACTACTCCAAGCATCCCACCCAAATGAACAAGAGCAGGGAAAGGATTAGAGTAGCATTTCCTAAATAATTCCAATAAACTTTTTATGCGTTCAACTTCAATAGGATGCACAGCTTCATTCAGAACAAAGGCAAGAAGGCTTCCTGCTCCAACGCATGCTGCCATCAACAAGCTCTGATGAAAAGTGCCAGACTTTTTAACAGATGCCAACTCAGATATTAGCTCAATATAGCCATTCACTAGATGATCCAACTCATTATCATTCATCAATTCCAACCTGTGGCAGAAAGCCATAACAACAGGAAGTGCAAGACAAGATCCTACAGATAAAACTCTATCCACTCCTTTGCTGGAAAAACCAGAATTAGTTTTTAGAGAGTCTACATGTGGAATCCATGATACAATCAAGTCTTTTATCTTAAATACAACATCATGTGCTCCAGCTCTGTATATTGCTCCAACAGAACTCCCCAAGCCAATGACAACTCCAGCAACACCCCAAATATCTTCCTCCAAATCATCACACTTATCCACAAACAGCTCAGAAGACATATTGGTCTCCACATCATCAACACCTGGGAGCAAGTATGCAGACAAGCTTTCTAGAATATCATGAGAAGCTTTACTAAGCTGACTTGTCATCAGAAGTAAAGCCCTAACTACCTTCCACAGTAAGGTAATTTCTTGAATCTTGTAGTTTTCTCCATCCCTGTCAGTGCTATCAGCAGGATCAACCCTGGTAAGTAGATCTTGGCATGAAAAGCCCAAGCCAACCCCACAAGCTCCTTTGACAAGGGTGCTTTTGCTAGCACACAAAACCTAAAAGCACAAAGTCTCAATAAATACATCTCACTAAAAAATACAATAAAAAATCTCTGATACTGCAACCATTCTCTAGATAGATTAAAACAAAACATATGAAAAAAGTAGCGGAGCAAGATTTCCATGCCTCAATAAGTCCAGTGATATTCTGAAATTTCTGCTTATGATCAGTTGCATGTAGGCAACTTGAGATCAATCCAAGAGATATTGCAGCTGACCATTGGCGATGTTCATGTTGATGTTGGAACAACCAATTCAACAGAAACTTTGAAGCAGTTGATTTGACAGTATGGGCAGATGGAGGCAAGACCTGTCAGAAAAAGGCAAGAAAAGCCAAACAATGAATTGAACAAAGTATGTCATTATGAATCTAGTTTCTTAAAGAAACACACTGCTAATTGGATGAAGATCCACACCAATAATTCAAAGTGCTAAGCAGAGCTTCAAAAGGATAAGACAATGTTGTAAAATGAGCGAGGAAGTCTGCACTAGCCTGGCCAAGCACATCATGGGCAGTGGAAATTGGCACAACCTGCAAGCTAAAGGCCAGCAGTAGGCCACAATGGACCATGCGATTTTGTGTGCCCATGTGGTTTGGGCACTGCCGACTCATACATTGAATTTTATATTGCTGATGTATAGAAAATTTTATTTGTGTAGCATGCTCTTTAATCTCATAAAAATTATATTTTATATATTTCCTTTTGTCCAAAAATTTTCAGGTAAAATTAAAACTATAAAGACCCATTAACCATTTCAAACTAAGGGGGTGTGGCTGGTCCAGGCCTGGGAACAAACTCCCTGTGCAAGCCATTAGGGGCCATGCAGGGTGGATCTCAATGTCCATGAACAAGTATATAGCCTATATTATATTTTCAAGGATTTGGTGACTGTTATACATCTCTTAGACTCGCATGGTCAAGACATTATAAGCATTCAGACTATGAACTCTAGAGAAATCAACAATCATATTAAATTTCTTACCGCACAGAGCGCACCAACAGCCAGCGTAATATTTTCAGCACATCTTGGGATAGATTCTTCAGCAAGTCGAATCATAGTCTGCACGACCAACTCAGTTAAATTACCTGTCCAGATAACCACAATACAAATGCAGAATTATAGAAGTAATGAGAGAAAACTCTAGGGTACCTTCAGAATCATGTTAGCAGCTTTAGAAGTTTTATCTAATGCAACAGATGCTGCTTTTGCATCAAGTGATAAGATATTAGCTCTCATCCAACGTCGAATGAAGGCTTTCCATGATTGCAGTGAAAGAAGCGCAACAAAAATGTTCCTTGAGAGGTGAAGAGAAGAAGCTATTTCCACCATTGCATTTTCATATGCAGCATGGACATCTGATACCTGGACAGCAAGTAATGCAGACTTAAAAACATGGTAAATTCTGAAGAAACGAACTTCACCATATGATAATCTTACTCTTGATGTCCCTAGGTTGTTCGCATCCCTAGGGGTAAAGGCAAGGCATAACAGGGCTGCACCAGGTAGCTTCCCAGGATTTCTTTTTTCCTCTGCACATTTGGTGCTTATTTGATTAGCTGTAAACGTCTCATATAAGAAGACTCACAACAAGCAATATTTAATAAGTCACCCTTTGTAAACTAAAGACGACTATCAAGTATCACCTTGGCCTCTAAATGCGTATATTCATCAAGATATTAGTCATCTCTGCAGAACCTAATATCTCACTACACAGTCTCCCCCCTTTATCTTTTTGGTTCTTTTATGGAGGGCAAAAAAAAAAAGTTATCACTTTATCTTTTTAACCAATTTTCCCTCTCATTCTATCAGATCAGGTCACTCTCGTGAAACTTTTCATAGATTATCTTTTCCCCTTTTCTTTTTGGGGGGGGGGATTTCTCTTTTGGGAGAGTGGGGGATTGGTATTTGTGGGGGAGGAGGGATGGAATTCACATAGAAAACATTAATGAATCTTTTAAGTACCACACCAATATCACCAACTACCATACCTGAAGAGAAGAGAACCTGGGGAAATACATCCAGCAATTTCTCAATCTTGCTTCCAACGATTTTTTTCTCCTTCACCAATCTTCGCCTATTACTGGAGAAAACGAAACCTCCATTTTAGTGTCAATTTCACATATTCCAGCATATTAAGCAGTAAAAATAGATAAACCCTCTACATGTGTTCATATGTTATGATCTTGACTTGAAATCCTTCCATGGCCTTGAGTACATCAACATCTGTCTCGCATAAAAGCAACTCCATGTTCTCCCTCTTGAAATCTGGAAGTCCTTTTTCTATTCGTGAGACCTAGTAAATCATCATATAATTTAGAGAAAATTCTTCCAGATCTATGAAATAAGATAAAAGATAGCAGAGAGAACAAACATCTTTGGAGTAAAATGTGAGTGGTTTGAAGTGATCAAAATCAAGAAAGGAGTCCATTAGTTCACAAATTTCACCTCATATTGGGATAAGGCCTGAAATGCAGAGGCCCTCGCCTTTGCCCATTGTATCACATGACTATCTTGCGTGGACGCAATATGCCACAAAATCTGCAAAACATTTCTTGAAGTTTCTGGGTATGCTTCCGCATCCATTGCACCCCATCTCAGAAGAAGGCATATGCTGTGTGAGCAAAAACCACACAGTACATTTAATCAGCAATTATCTTTGCACATATAATTGGTGAAAGATTAGTGAAAATTGTAGAAGCTTGAATTACCCTCAACACACAAACGGACCAAGTAGAAGAAAGAGAGAGATAATTCAGAAGAAGCAATGCCATGACTAAGAAAATCATTATCCTAGCAGGGAAGTCAATAATAATAGATTATCACAGCTCTATCGTCTCATAATTGGGATTCTTCTCCATCTTTCTTAGAAAGAGGATGTGCTAGGCCATAAAAGGCTAGGCGATCCATTAGGCTAACCTATCATTCACTTCTATCGCAATTGGACAATGGTTTTGTTACAAAATCTGCAATTCGAACATAAGCCTTAACTTTAAGTATCAGCTGATACTAACAATTGCATACCTTTGGGCAAGAAATGGGTCAGAGGAGTACTCTAGTACATGCTTTGCAATGACATCCCAGGCAGTATAAAAATCTGCATATATATAAGAAAGCAGGATGTGCTCATAGGCCATAATAAGGCTAAAGCCGCGATTCCAGTTTTAGGCCTAACCTTATTCATTCACTTCTATCGCAATTGTGACCAATGGTTTTGCTTACAAAATCTGCCAATTCAACATAAGCCTTAACTTTAAGTATCCAGCTGATACTACAATTGCATACCTTGTGGTCAAGAAAATGGTTTCAGAAGGATACTCTAGTACATGCTTGCAATGACATCCCAGGCAAGTATAAAAATCTGCATATATATATAATATATATATAATAGTCACTATATTATTATACAAAACAAAATTTTTCAAATACATTTAATTTTATACCTATTAAGGCATCATGTAAAGGCACCATGCAAGTTCGTAAAGAAAAAGAATTGATCAAATTATTTTCAAGAAGAGGAAATAAAATTCCAGACCCTGATATTAACAAAAAAATTTTAATACAAATGTTTAATTTATACCTTTAAGCACATGTAAAGGCACATGCAAGTTCGTAAAGAAAAAGAATTGAAATATTTTCAGAAGAGGAAATAAAATAGACCCTTGTGCTGCAAATAAAAAAGCACATTTGATTTCTTAAAGAAAACAACTGAAATGTTTTCAAAAAACAAAGTAAAATAATCTCATCTCTGATGTTTGCAGTATTCGTTGTGAGAATTTCCATTCTCAAATTCTGTATACATACAATTGAAAGAACTAAAATTTGCCAAATAACATCATTAGAGAAAAAAACTGTCTCAATATGTTGTTCAAAAAAATTTTTAAATATTTTTCAAAGAAAGCTTACTATTGATTTTAAACTAAGGATGTTTATCAGCGATGAATAGCACTACTAAATCTATGCAAAGAGACGCAACCCACAGATTCATATTGAGAAATGCTAAGAGGTCATTGTAAGAAAGAGAGGCACGGGAGTCTCTATTCGCCATCTAGTTTGAGGGGTCAGCCTCTCCTTTTCCAGAAAGTTAGAGATAAGCAATAAAGTAAGGACTAGACAGCAAAAAAAATAGCTTCCCATTCACATCAGCAAGTGTGAAACACAGCTAAAGCCACCTCAATCTGCCTTTTGGATATGAATTGTTAGACATTCAAAGTCAAACACACTATCATGGCTTGCCGAGCAGACAATTGAATTGGAAGTTCAAAGTAATTACTCCAAAGGACAGTTGAACTCTCAAGAAATACTTGGTGGAAGAGATAAGTACCAATAAGCATTATATCGTGAAAGTTCTCAAAGATAGTATGAAAAGAGCAAAAGAAGGCACTTTCAAAGTCAAATCTGTCTTTGAGAAGCAAACAAGAAACAACAAGAATTTTCAGTTAGAGCACAATCAAGATTACCAATTACATCAGCTTCACACAGATGGGCAAGGCTTTGTAAACCGAGGGCTTGAATAATAGGATCCCGGCTCTCAATGCAAGCCTATTACAAAAATTTATGAAAAAGAAAAACGAAATTAAAAAAACAAAGATGCCTAAATCCTACATTCATAGGACATTGCAAAACCATATATCTAATATTTGATCCATACCGAAACGGATAAGATAAGGTCCACACCCCTATCGGGATTTTTTCTGCAAACATCTCGAATGGAAGTTGCCAGACTTAAACAGACATGTCTCTCAGAGTTGAAATCTGTGAATCCCTTTGGAAGTAACACCGCCTAAATGTCAATGACCAAATTACAATTAGAGCACATCAATATAGCAATAGGAACTCAGGAAAAGAGGGGAAGGCAATAAAGCTCAAGGAAGAGGAAATGCAGTTTCGTATGCATTAGCATCTTCTTGTGAAGCCTAAAGTTGTATATACTTTCATAGAAATCAATTACAAATAATTTTTTAAGCATCATACTTTTCCACAGTTCTACCCAATACTTTGCTCCCATCATAAGCCTCTAGCAAGTAACCAAATTTACTCCTTTAAGCCAAACTTACTTTGAATTGCATCTATCATGCATGTCATTCAATTCAGTTTGATTATAATTGAACCTTCTGAGACTTGGAGAAACGGGAAAAAAAAAAGATAAAAGGGTCTAACCCATCATTGAAGGCTTGATTTATCATAGATTAATACTTTGCAATTATGCATTATAGTACATGGAATAATCTTGATAACTTAAAAAAAGTATAGAAAGCTAAAATTATATTCAAATAAATTATTAAAGTACCAAAGAGTTCCATACGCAGGTTTTATTTATAAACAAGTATCCATTGCAAAGGTACTAGGTGTAATAAATTCATGTTTTTTGCAAAACCCCACCCCAGTCTATACTTTCCAATGATTTTAAGGTCATTGATTAATGTATGTCAAACTCTTTAATTTTCCACAACTGGAACTGTTTGTCAAATGATGTGCAGCACTGAAGTCAAACTATTTGACAGCCCAAGCTCTCTTCAATCACATTTGGGTTGCACTTTTTTAAATTTACTGCGTGCTGTAGCCTCAACTCAAATGTTGATGTCTAGATTGTTCCAAAATTTGTGTCCAATTTCCTAAACAATAAAAAGGAAAATTTGCCATTTATCGAAATGCTAACAAGTCAAAGAGAATCTTACCTGCAGACTGCCAAAGGCACGGTCATTAATCACCCAGGTCTGACAAAGTAAACGAGCTCCTGTGGCGTACAACACTCTGATACAAGAAGAATTACAGTAAAATCAATGTAGAAAGGGAACAAATGTGAAGCTATCATAGAAAAACAAAATACAATAGTTATTAGGCTATAGGAATTTTAAATTACTTGCCCATACTACAAGTATAATTAAAAATGAGAATTTACTAGTACATGACATAAAAAAAATCCAATGACCCTAAATCCCTAATCATACATATAATAAAGGGCTCAAGCGTAAGCAGCCTCAATTATATACATTTCACATGTGGACTCATATGCTTGAATAGTGAGATAAATATGCAGCATAGATAGAGTACTACACTGGCACACTTCTTGAACAATAGATACAACATCAGTAACAACTCAAATGGGTAGCAAGTACAAACCAGTTGAAAGGACCATCATGTCTCCATTGATTCTTTACAAGCATCAAGACAAATGGTAAGACAGATGACATGACACAAACCACATCAAATGAAACACCAAAGTGATAAATATCATGAGCACACCATAAGATGCCAAAACAACAGGAAGCATTGAAACCACATAATCAACAAGGCAAGCCAGCAAGAACTTCACAATTAGTGTTGGAGATATCAAATGCAGTCTGCATACCACTAACCTCTTGGTGGACAGAAAAGTTAAAGCACATATCATAATCACAGACCTATTATATCAGTAAATTGATTCAGTTGTTTAATAATATAATTTTAACATCACTATCATTGAATCCTCTCCGCCTATCCTAAAGTGGCTGGCCTCAGGTGCAAACATGGTCACATTCTTTGCAAACATAGAGATATACGCTCTTAAAAAAAGGAAAATAGGTATGAACAAGAGTAAAGATGTGAATTGCAAATCAATGGCATGCTGTAGTAATAACTCATAGTCACGAACCAAACAATTCCAAACAACCAAAAATGAAACTGATGCGTACAGGTGGAAAGGATACATAAAGCTGAAGCACATACTGATAATTTAATAAGCATGAGCCTAACAAGAAATTCATTTTGGACAAAATAGATACAGCTTTATAGGCTCAATTAATCATAACCCCAAAAAGAGTAATCAAAGACCATCCATTGGGAGTAGCATAATCTCAAGAAACCAATGACTCCAGGTAGAACTGCTTCATAAGAACACCAAAAATGTGTCATACATTCCTTAATAAAGACACTCATCAACAAGAAGAACAACATGGAGGCAAGGCAGAGAATGAGATGAATTTAATTTCTTTATCTTTCTTTTTAATATTATAGGTCAAAATATTAATTTCTTTTTTTTTATTAGACCCAGGGCTGGCACTGGTTGGGAAAATGGAAAACTATTAAGTGTGAATTAGATACACCTGAATGAGATAGAACAAGAATACATCATTACCCCTTTTTTCTAATTTTACAAAACTAAAAATTCAAAAATCAAGCTTAAGTTCCTCGTTTTGCCAAAGAGAGCATGATTTAGTCACCCATCAAACATAAATATCATCCACCCCATAACGGGGTCCAACAATCACCAAAATATGCAATGCCATAAAGATGGTCCACTAAAATGCTTGAAAATAAAAACTTAATGAGGAAAATTGAGAATGAAGCGATAAATCATGAGTTATAGAGAGTACACACGGTTGTCCATTCTTCTGAAGCATTGGCAGAATAGTCTGAATTATGAGAGGTACCATCATAGAATGTGAAGCCAGTGATGGAAGCACTACCAAGAGTTTTGGCTGAAACAAAAAGGTCTGTTTTTCAAAAAGACAGATAGATAGAGAAAACATAAAAGGAAAAGTTTGGTAGACTCTTGCATCAACTTGCAAGATTCTTAATGCCAGGAAAAGTAGAAATACTCACCATCATATCCCGGTAACTAATATCATATTTGGTGAAGATGTTGCAGTAAAATAGAATGGCTAGCAACAATGGAACTCCCTGCTTGGGATCCATAACACCAACTGCAGCCAACAGATCTAATGCAACACTTTCCAACGACTGATGCATCACCAAAATACTAGTAATTGCACCAAGCAAGGGGGGCATTTCTACAAGATAAGTAGTTGGGATGATGCATTTCTACAAGGTAAATAGTTGGGATGATATGAATATAACTAAAAGAACTTTACTCACCCAAAAAATGAAAAGAAAAGAAAAGAAACAAATCAAGATAATCTATGAGATCTTTACCCTTTGAAAATGTTTCGTGAGACCGAGAGATGGGTAGAGAGGATTTTCTTCTGTCAGTGATCCAAAAACAGTGGTCTCTTATTTGAGAAGCCCAGGTTATTGCTAGATCTTGCATTTCTTTGGCATCAAGTTTATCACTAGAAGCAAAATGTACAAAGAAGGAAGTTGACCATGAAAATTGGTCCTGAAAAGCATAGCACACAAAAACTCTCAAAACTTCAATCACCATGAATTAGAAAAGGTGCAATTTTTTTTCCGTTTCCTCCACCATTTTCCCCCTTTTTTCACCATTTTTTCCCCTTTTTTACAGTTAAATAGTAAAGAAAAAACTTGCAACTTTATCTTAATCACCTCAACCAAATAAGTCATAATATAAATTAAGTGAAATTGGCTACACGAATCCTATGCACCATTCTGCTATCAAATGCAATTTTAGTATCACCACATAAATACATTGTCATTTTCATATTTGAATGTAAACCAAAGAAAATCAATTCATACTAGAGTTGAATATCAATTAAAATTAAACAAAATAAACTTAAAAGTCACCTTGTTTTTTTTTTATTATTTTTTTAAGAGCTGGGGTGAGGAAAAAAAAAAAGGCAAAAGACTGCACCCAAGAACTTAATTATCAGAATTCCAACAAACCTTCACCAGGAAAATAGTTTGGCAAATAACACTAGCAACAAAAACAACAATGATAATACTAAACCTGAAACCACAGATGCCGCAAAAGTCTATAGACAATAGATCCAAGTGAGCTGACAGATTGTGATCTTTCTTCCTTGACTGGTTCAATCTTTGGTGATCTGAACAGTTGTACTAGAAGCTTTTCTAACATGACAAGCAAATCAGTTGCTGCTCCTTTAACAGATCTAGAGGTCGATGACATGAGATTGATGACAGGAAATGTGAGTAATAGCTCCTCATTCAAACTACATTTGCTTCTATCAGATGCATCTTCTGTGAAATAAATAGAGAATATGTCATCTGAGCAGGGTAGCAGTACATGAGCAAAATAAGAGTAAAGACAAGGAGGAACGTAAACCAGAACTAAGGAAGAATAGTCAGTTCATTCATCTTTTAAAAAATAAATAAATTGCTGCAATATCAAAGTTACTATTACAAATGCAAAACATAAAATGAAGCAGAAAATTACACAGTAAATATTAGAAGTTATTAGCAAAGCAGGGATAGCAAGAAAGTTAGGCCTTGCCAATCTGAAAAATTAAATGGTGTATTTTATGCTTGCAAGGCTTATGAAAGGAGCATAAAACTGAAAGATATGAGATGCAATTCAGATCGATAATTGTATCAATTCCACCACATAAGTCAGCAAAAAGAGATGATGTAAAACAGTGGTTTTGTTATAATATATGATATGTCAAACGTTTATTGCATATGACTAGGCGAAGTTGAATGAACATACCATTTTCACTTTTCCACTTTACAAGGAAGATGAGGAATTTCAACAAAGAGAGTTGTTCATGCTCAAGCTCAGATTGAATAAGGATAAAAAATAAGGATAGCATTATTGACGACAACTCAGGTATATAACGCAAGGTAAGATCTTTCTGAATGACAAACAACCCCTTCACTAGTTCAACAATTGGTTCAGTACAACCAGAATTTCCATGAAGACGTGTTAATAATGAAAGGATAGTCTCTGACAATTCCATGCCAAACAATTGAGCCTCAGGAACCAGCTGTTAACAAGAGATGAAACAAATAACAGATTAGTCGAGACAATTTAAACTAATGATGATGGCGCAATTAAAGTATAGTTAGCAGAAAGGAAATGACAAAGGAACAAGCGATTGCATTAAAGGTTGCTCCAAACTAGAGTTGTTAAAACATACCAATCCAATTCTAACCAAATGTCTCAAAGCCACTGTATACGCATCAACTATGCATTCCAAAAAATAATAAGAGTCCGTAAGTTCCTGCATTTTATCAATAAATGGAAATCAAATAACTACAAGATTACAGAGAAACTAACAAAAAGGACAATCTTTAGACAAGTATACTAACATTCGAGTTCTTGTGTGGTAAACACTTGAGGCAGCCCATGAGAAGCTTAAAAACTGGAATTGCCTCCTTAGGAAAGGAACAACAAAATGACGCCAGACATGATATTAATTGCCTTGCAAACAAAGATGATGAAGAATCTGAAAAGGGTATCCGCAGAATGGAAAAATTCACAAAAGGTCTTAAGAATTCGCAAACTTCCGCGGTTCCCAACCGCCTACTCTGTACCATAAACAGTAAAACTTGCCGTAGCAATTCAGACTGAACCTCAGTTCTGGATGATAAAATCTGCATTTCAAAACCTTTAGCATCAGCATTCAAGTTCTTCAGTAATTCAACTAACACATTTCCGTATCAAAATTAAATTTTTTATTTCCATTTTTATAGTCTACATTTTATCCAACAAACAACATATTAGAACATAAGAATTCCAAAATAACTTCAAGGAAATGTCATGCTATCCATAACTGAAGTCCAGAGCAGTTCACTGACCTTAACAAACGGATGATTATCGTGGGAACCAAATTGCCGTGACCCGTGATTCCTTTCAAACCCGATCCGAGCGAGGAATCCCAGTCCTTTAACAAATAAACCAACGAATTTCGGGTCTGCACCTTCGAGTGCAGATTGAAGCTCCAGAAACCCGCGAGAGATATCCAATTTAGAATCCGAGACAAGGCGACAGAGCTCGCGAACCGTTTGGTCGACGACGGCGGGAGATGAGGAGTGGAGACACTGAGAGATAGCTTCTCTTCCGGAATCGGATTCCGGGTCAAGGTAAGCCGGAGCTGATCGGAGCTTCGAGAATATTGAAATTACCGCGAACTTTTGGAGGGAGGGTTGCGGGACCCGGATTTTTTCGAGTAGGGGAGTGTAGGAATCCATTGCTGCTGCACTGACCACTGAGAGAGAGCACACAAAAGAAAACGAAAGGAGATTCTACGCTGCGTTTTTGAAACCAAACGATGCGTTTAGCTATTGAAATTTTGGCGGTGTTTTCTTCCATGTGAAGCAGAGAAGCAGCATTGTATTTCTTTTGTTTTTGAAATTTTGAAGAAAATATTTTTTTGAAAATCAGTAAAATAAATATCTGCTTAATTGATAACAAGTCAAAAACCGCAAAAGGAACACTCATACAATAAGAATGGTTTGCTTGTACAACTGATTATAGCATCACCTCTTGTCAGCTATGGACAAAAGTTTATTTTGCAAACTCTAAACGCACTTCTAAAGTCTCTCTTTCAAATATAAACATACATGTATTTCTTACTTCTACTAATCAAAAAAAGGAGACCTAAATATTTTCCATGGTCCAAATGGTTAAAAACACCAAGGATATTGCACAAGCACTTTTATCAAAAGAAGAAACATTAGAACTATAAAAATTAGTAACTTGCCTATAAGCTAACACGTAACTAGCTAAATACTATTCGCGTATTACACTCCCTATAATTTGCTTTGGAGAATAAAAAACCAATGTCAGCAAAAGAGCAAATGAGAGACTCTTGGGGTCTTGGCCCAGTCCTTCTAATACGAGAACCATCCAAAAAAACCACCTAGCTTTAGCCTTTTGAAAAATGACCAATATGCTCTTTTGAATTTGTGCAAAAAATTCTTGTGGCCTCTTTTATTTTCAAAATAATTTTGTGGCCCCTTAAAATTATAAAATTATTAATATCACACCCTTATTAATCCGGTCAGCAACACGTCTAAATACAAATTCTATCTCTGCACGGTGAATCTCCTTTAAATATTCTCAAATGTCATTTTAAGTCATTAAAAATATTTTTTATTATTAAAATAATTAAAATATCGTTAAAACTTATATTTTTTGGATTTTGAATATCCAACCAAACTAATCTTATCTTTCCTTTCTAGACAAGGAATCAAAATGAACGATAAATGGAGAAAGAACAATAATTTACAGATTTGAAAAACAGTAAACCCATATATCAAACTCATTTACAGTCTCAAATTATATTGTTATTATTAAAAGAATATTATAATCTTGCCTTCTGACGCGGAACCCTATGGAAATTTATTCCAAGAACTCTATGACAAGATTTGGAAGAGATCAAAGATCAAACTAAACCCTCCCCTATGGCACCCCTGACAAGATTTGGAAGAGATCAAGAATTCAAGACCTAAAACCCTCCCCTTATGGCAACCCGCTCGTTTTATAAAGAAATAGAAACACCAATGAATAAAGAGTAAAAGAATAATATAACATAAGTAAATTGATAAGTTTACCTTGATTCTTGATGCAATAAGAGGAATGCAATCTCACACTCTCTCCAAAGCAAAGAACACGCCTAAGCATGAAAGAAGAATTTATATTTCATTGATTGATTGTATGTACAATATAACAAGCTATTTACACTAATTCTAAGAGATCCAGATCCTTAAAGGATTTAGATTAGTTAGTCGAGTCTATCGTGCCAAAGCTACTAATGCTAAGAATGCTTCGCCCTGACTAGTTAGTAAGGGAAGGTAGGTAAGGCGGATCTAGGGAGTCTTTACTTCTTCGACTTCTTATTCATAGTTGAGATACTCCCAACCTCCACCAGAAAGCAGCACCGGAGTGAATCGTAACAGCAGCACCGGGAGGTGAAATCGTAACAATTTCGATCTGGGGGTCCAGGGGGAGTTTGTGAGCTTGCCTCACTTAGAGATAAGTGCAGGGGATGGGTTGAGCTATTCCTTAATATAGCGACGGTTTGACCACGCCGCTAGTCCCACCGCTTTTGCTGAATGGCCTTAGGCTGGACACTCTAAGCATGAAATGTAAGTTTGGAAGTATTATCCTCTTTAAGCCAAGAAGCATAGGCAAGATGAGCTCTAGGGGGTACAAGCTTAAGAATCCGAAGGGTGGAAGGATTTAATCAAAATCTAAAACCAACTATAGGATAAAGAACTAACAAAATCTTAAACACTTAAGGATTTGGGATATCTAATCCCAACTCACAGATTGACTAAATCTAAAAGAAATTCTAAACAAAATAAGGCTAAAATAATCAAGGGTCGCTGAATTATAGGAGGCCCAACCCATTAACATTGCAAAAACTCAAAATAAACTAACTAGTTTAACTAGAGGCAGAGGCGGGCACGGTTATGGGCGTGCTAATTGGCATGGGCGTGCTTCAATGTAAGAGTTCCCTCGCGAGAGGCAAAGGCGAGCACGGTCTTGGGTGTGCTATTTGGCACGGGCGTGCTTCAAGGTAATTGTTTTCCTAAGCAAGTTAGACGAGGGCGCGGCCTGGGGTGTGCCACATTGCATGGGCGTGCTAACATAGCATGGTCTAGGCATGCTATATGTTGGAAATTCAGGTTCCAACTCAACATGTGCTTCCATTAATGTGAGAAACTTAGGTGTTCCTTCAAGTTCTTCATAGCACTTGTTGAAAGCAACTTGTTTGAAGCCAAAGGTTCATGGAGCTGTTTGTGACTTGGTTCTTGTGAATGTAAGACATGGTTGGCTCCATATTTCTTGCACTTGTTCTTGAATGTATAAAGACATGGTTGCTCCATATTTCTTTGCACGGCTCCTTGTAATTGGTCCACTAGGAAGTACTAATGGATTGTCATTATTGTGGTCTTTGTTCCCTTAAGCTCCATAGGTGGTTGGTGATAGTGGATCCGTATCACCTTCTCTCATCCATTTTTTTTTCTCTCTGTAAATTCACTTTACCTATACTATTCTCTCTCATTTTCTTCCTTTTCTGCATATTCAAGCTCTAAGAGTTTTTTATTTATTTTCATCAAAACCCACTTGATATGAGATCATTTATAAAATAAATAAAAACTTGATATATGCATAAACTTAGCATGACTCATCACCCCAAAATGAAAGTGTGTATGAAATTGTATTTTTTTTTTTAAATTCAAATTTCTTAATTCTAGTTTTAAATAAGAACATCTAGATTGCAGAACAAATTGAAAATATAACAGGTGAAAATCATAGAATAAATTATATGATTTTTATTTGAAGGTTGAGATAGAGACTTAATTTGTTAGAGAGAGAGAAGAGAGAAGAGAGCCATTTTTGGAGGTGGAGGGCCAAAAAATAGTGAAGAAAGTGGGAGTGATCTCTGGCGTTGCATTAAAACTATTAAAGGTATTGTGTTTTGTGGGCTACTGAAAGTAATATAATAATAAATATAAATATTTATAAGATGTCACTTTTCTTGACATCTTATCACTTTTCTTAACATCTCAGCGTGTCTTAAATGCACGCGTTCTCATTTGTCTTAAAAGGTGTGAAAGTAGAGGCCACAACGTCGTTTTGAAATTAGAGGAGGCCAAAAAACTTTTTTGCACAAGTTCAGGGAGCAAATGAAATATTCGGCCTCTTGAAAAAAGGATCAAAAGAACCTCGAAACAAATAATGGCGAGTCCCTTTGTTGAAATGAATTTTACAAAAATAGACAGAAGTTTAAAATAAAAAACTAACAAACAAATTTTATAAATAAAAATGTCATAATGTTTCTTTTTTCTCTCTCTCTCTCTCTCTCTCTCTCTCTCTCTCTATTTTATCCCCCCCCCCCTCTCCTCTATTTTATCCCCCCCCCCCCCCCCTCCTTCCTTTTTCTCTTATCTACATCCTCATCCTTCTCTCTCCATCTCTTTTTTCTCATTTATCTTTTATGTGTTTTCTCTCCTTTGTTAACCAACCTTTTTATTTTCCCTTTTTGTATTTTGAAAAATAAATATTGCTTATGAATATAATATAAAATCGACTTTTTTCAATTAGGTTATCTCGTTTGACAAATTCTTGTATGAATAATACTTTAAAAAACAAGTTCAATTATAAATTTGGTATTCTAACTCTAAGTATAAACATATGAAATTCACATTTTAAGTTATGTAATTTCAAACCAATTGACTTAAACATCAAACAAAATCAAATCAAATTAGCTTCACTCGACTTAGTTCTCTGTTAGATTTGATTATTATTTAATCTTAATTGTATGTCCAGACCTACTAGAATTTTGAATAAATTCTAAAAATAAAAATCTACATATTGTAAATAAAAAGGTTAGTTATTTATTCTTTTAGATACTGAGATTTTGTTATATTTTATGTTTTGTCATTTTAATCTCATTAAATTATTTAGACCTGTCATTTTAAAAGGTTAAATACTATATAATATATAACTATTTAATCGTTCGCATTTAATTAATTCACTGGTTAATCCCTTATTTAATAGTAAGATAACATTTTTAGATGAAAGGCTAAATAATTTAGCAGAATTAAATTTTAAAGATTAATCAATATACAGTGATTGAAATTATGAATTATTTAAGAGAAAAAAAATTATACAAAACAAATTGAAATGCAAAATTGCAAATCCAAGAATTAAAAAATCAGAGGGAAAGGGCTAGGTTTGCGGATTGGTTGGCTAGCTTTGCGTCTTCGTTCCCGCTTGGGGTTCACAAGCTTATGGGTTATCCTGCTGAGTTGCTTTCTATGATTGTGCATGACGCTGCTGGTGTAGCGTATGCTCGTTTCTGTGCCTAAGGCTTCTAGCCTTCTTTTATTACCAAAAAAAAAAAAAAAAAAAAAAAAAAAAATTACCAAAAAAAAAAAAAAAAAAAAAAAAAAAAAAGAGAGGGGAAAGAAGCTTTAGCCTTGGGCAACGGCACTCAAAGTAAACAGCATCGTTTTTCCTATAGACGCAGAAGGACTTGTTTAGCCCTCTAACCTTCCGAAGTCGTAAAAAAAAAAAAAAAAAAAAAAAAAAAAAAGAGGGGGAAAGAGCTTTAGCCTTTGGGCACGGAACTCAAAGTAACAGCATCGTTTCTATAGACGGCAGAGGAGCTTGTTTACCCTCTACCCTTCCTGAAGTCGTAATATAGTATAGATAGTCCTCGAATTTTATTGTCAATCTCTCTTTCTCGACTCCAAAATCTGAAATTCCATAAATGGCAACCATGTCGCTCACTGAGCTCGATAATGATACTGTGCGAAGCATGTCCGTTGGGGCTGTTTTCTCAGATTTTGTAAGCTTCACTGAAAATTGAAAAGAGTAGTTGCTCTTATACATTTTGGAACTCGATTTCGATTCCGCTTATATCCCCCTACTGGAACTTCAATTTCACTGTTTAAATCGCAATTAAGCTAACCAACCCTAATTATTTTTGTTTTTAGTGCTTATTAGCTGGTTTGCATTTTCTTTTCAGGGCGGGAAGATAAATTCGGTTGATTTCCATCGAAAAGACGATTTGTTGGTAACAGCAAGTGATGACGATTCTGTTCGGCTTTATGATATTGCAAGTGCTAAGTAAGTTTAATTTATTGGTATTTTTCATTGTTTATTGGATTTTGAAGTCTTTGATTATGTTTTTTGGATTAGAACTAAAATTAAATGTAAGTCGGAAGAAAAAGCCTTATGAATTGCACGAAATTCAGGTTGCTCAAGACAACTTATCACAAGAAACATGGTGCCGATCGTATATGCTTTACTCATCACCCTAGCTCTGTTATTTGTTCCTCAAAGTACAATTTGGATTCTACCGGAGGTGGGTTTCTTGTTATGACTTCAATTATGCAAAATGTTTCTGTATTGCTCATGACATAGTAAAAATTTGATTCTATTAATGCATATGGCAACTATGGTAAAGACACATATTTTGTCTTGGCAGAATCTTTAAGGTATCTATCAATGTATGATAATAGGTGTCTTCGTTACTTCAAAGGGCATAAAGAAAGGTATGACTTCCATTTTTTATTAGTGCTTTAGTTATAATGCCACCAACGAAGTATGCATAATGTTTTTTCCACAGATATAGGCAGTAAGGAATTACCTTTGGACAGAAGTGTCATTTTTGTAGAATAGTTTATTCGCAAAAATTCATATCAACTTCTTAAGTTAGTTTGAAAAGTTGTGTTTGTATGACACGTCCTGATAGCTGGACATCCGTGTCGATTGTAACAAAAGAAATAAGTGCATGGACCATCAGTTTCTCCTATGTTATGTACTTATAGGCATTGCCTCGGCCTCATCAGGATAGTTTAGATGGTTGTCTCCTTCCTCATCCTCTCAAACCCTGTCGTTTCCTGTCTAAGATTGCTGCTTTTTACTTTTGCTTTTATTTTTTTTAGATTGCAATATTGATGGTTTTCATTACATTTGCTGTTGTAGAGTTGTTTCTCTTTGCATGTCTCCAATCAATGATAGCTTCATGTCTGGTTCTCTCGACCACAGTGTCAGAATATGGGATCTTCGTGTAAATTCTTGTCAGGTTTGTTTCTAATTACTATTAACTTTTTCTGTGAAGTTCAAAGATAAGTATAGAAGTTGTTTCAAGTGGACTGCACTGTCAATAGCAGTTGAGATGATACACTTTCTTGACCATGTATTTTAACTAAGATTGGCCTGTATTGATACATGATTGTGATTTATGCTTACTGTTATAGTTTTCAGGGAATTTTGCGTCTACGTGGTAGACCTACAGTTGCATATGATCAGCAAGGTCTTGTCTTTGCTGTGGCAATGGAAGGGGGTGCTATTAAATTGTTTGATTCGCGTTCATATGACAAGGTTCTACTTCTCACCTGTGAAGCATTGACTTATCATTATTATTTACCCCTTTTCTAAGTTTTGACTTACAACTCCAATTGTAGGGTCCCTTTGATACCTTTTTAGTTGGTGGAGACACAGCTGAGGTTTGTGATATTAAATTCAGCAATGATGGCAAATCAATGCTCTTGACAACAACAAGTAACAATATATATGTTCTTGATGCATATGGAGGAGAGAAGGTCAGTTCCCAATAGTGGAAGGTTCAATTTTGGGTCCTTAAGTATGATGGTTTTTTTTTTTTTTTGTTCAAACTATCTGCTATCCAAAAGCCATTAGCCTGACTAATCCAGATTCACAGCCAACAGATTCACAAAGGGGCAAAGTGCTCCCTTCTGAGTAGGGGTGTGCAAATCATCTGACCAAACTGAACCTACTAATTTCGGTTTGGTCAGCTCCTCAAAGAGGAGTTCGGTTGGTTGGGTTACTCGGTTCGGATCAAAATTATTGTTTGTGCAGAAATTAATCAGTCAGGCTTAAAATCGAACCAATAAGGCGAAAACCGACTAAAACAGCTTGAACCAACCGTTTCAATTTGAGTTGGTTCGGATCAGATTTTGTGAAGTTCAGTTTTGTATTTTCCACCCCCTGATTCGGCTCGGTTCAAACCGAACCGATTGTCTACTCACCCCTACTTTTGAGTATCTAAAGGGATTCTATATCCAAGGCTTAAACTCGAAACTTCTAGTTAAAAGAGAAGAGATCCCTGCTATCTCATCTCATACTTGGGGTCATGAGAGTCTTTGTTTAATATAGCTGTTCTAACTTCTAGTTAACACTTTCCTTTGTGCAGCGATGTGGCTTCAGTTTGGAACCATCACCAAATACGACTATAGAGGCAACTTTTTCCCCAGATGGCCAGTATGTGGTATCAGGTACCCTGTTTTCTACTCAATTTACCTGAAATAAAATGTCTTTCCAGTTTATGTTCAAAGTTTCATTTTTCCATTTCCTGTGTCTATGAAAAATTGAAATTATATTCATCACCAAATCCAATTGTCATCAGTCAGACTGATTTACATGCCTAATCAAAATCACATTTATGATGAATTGAATTGTTTAGTTTGACAAATTACTGGTTAGTTCTATATATGCTTCAATTCTGTGCCTGTGGCCCTAGTGTTGCGTGTTGAACCTTGTGTGTATTTAAGTTGTTCAGTAATTAGAAAATATTTTGCTATTTTATTGTTGTCACCTTATGCTTGTACTTCATATGATAGTCATTGAAGATTCAAATTGTTTTCTTGCCCTAGGATACAGATTTGGGGAATGATTAAGGAAAATTGTCCATCTAAAATACAAAAAGCCTACTAAGTACTAATTCTAATTGTAGTTTAATGTGCACAACGTTGGTTTCATAGAGCTATCATTGCCACAGATGATATATATGTCATGGGTGAAGTGTTCACTTCATAAGATGCCCAAACCTCTTTGATATCATTGCTTGAGACAGTTCTGGGTGTGCCAGTGGATGTAATAAAGCTAAGCCTTGATTCAACTGATGTTTTGGGATTTTCTCATGCTCAGCATAATGAAAGGCGCAATAGAGATCCTAATGGCTATTGCTATGCAACTTCCATCGGAGCCAGTACATATGAAACTTCTTATACTGCCTTACAGACAAATCTAACATTTCACTTGTGCTGTAAGCATATCTATGTTCTAAAGTTTAAAGTATTGGAACTTAGCAGCTAACATGTCTGAGTGATGTACCTTTAAAAAAATTCTAATTCAAAACCATGAGTATTTTTGTAACTGTTTTTGTTATGTTTCATTTTAGAGGTTTAAGACTAATGTTACTTGCAATAAATGTTAAACGATTAAATCTAACCACATGCTAATCGTTTTTCTGCTTATTTGGTTAATAATGATTTCATAATTGATAATTTTATCATACAATAAATTGCCATTTGATTTGTCTGTGTGATGAGAGTTATATCCAGATGCAACTATTAACAGTCCGTTGATGTATTTAATTATTTATCATGTAACATCAAAAGTATGCCTTTTGAGAGTTATATCCAGATGCAACTATTAACAGTCCGTTGATGTATTTAATTATTTATCATGTAACATCAAAAGTATGCCTTTTTGATTTGTCTGTGTGATTGAGAGTTATATCCAGATGCAACTATTAACAGTCCGTTGATGTATTTAATTATTTATCATGTAACATCAAAAGTATGCCTTTTCTTTATTGTAGGCTCAGGAGATGGAACCTTGCACGCCTGGAATATCAATGTGCGAAATGAGGTATTGATTATTATGTAAATTGATGGAGCTTTCATAATTCAATTCTTTAGATCAACCATGATTTTTTTTTTTTTTCCAAAGAATAAAAGAGGAATGTAGCTATGCAAACGGCATCCCACATCCTTTCTTAACAAAAAAAGAAATATCCAATGATGTAAAGCTCAATTAGTTTTAAGCCTTTTGCATCCTCATGTTGGGGAAGGTAAACTTATATCTGCATTGTGTGTTCTATTGTCTTGCTGGCAAGACACTATGTCTGGTCGTACACAACAAACACAAAATAGTTGCAAGCAGAGCAGATGATCTTTGCCTAATTCTTCTGCATTCACCTTTCCCTCTGAAAGAGAGTGATAACGCTAGTAGGGTCCATGCACATCCAGATCCAACAACAAATTTATGCTGGATAGCAATTCTTCTTCTTTTTCTTCTTCTTCATCTAACATTTACTTTGCAATCCTTACTAGATTCAGTTTCTAATGAACCATAAATTTGTTGCACATTGTATTTTCATTTGTTTTTGTCTTTTTCACATTGAAGCCTTTTTTGTTACCAATGTTTCAGATATCGTGCTTGTTTTGAACATAATCACACTGGAAGATGACCTGTGCTAAACACAGGTTCAACAATGTGTTACAATGATGAAAGTTCAAATAATTATTATACCAATTTGTCCTTTCATGCAGGTGGCGTGCTGGAATAGCCACATAGGCATCCCATCGTGCTTGAAATGGGCTCCACGTAGAGCCATGTTTGTTGCTGCATCCTCTGTGCTTACGTTTTGGATACCTAATAATTCCAAGTCAGCTGCGGAGCCTCGACCTATGGACACTGAAGGCGTACCTCAACCTGACCATAGTTCTCAATCATGAAAACCAGGTTTTTCATTACTTGTTTCCATAACTATGAACATGATGCACCGTTTTAGGGCCAAAATTTGTGCTTGAATTGCCCTCAATTTTGTAAAATATATAAGTTGTTTAATATTGATGATTTTTGTTTTCAAATCTCATACTGCAATAAGATGCCTGTTTTAGCCTGAACAAGAACAACATAGTAGTTTTGTTGAGCTACTGCCATATGGTGATATAGAGGGATTTCAAGATAGGATTAGTTTTATTTTTGCTAGTATTTTTTTATTTATTCATCTGAAGTGAAAGGAAAACCTGGACCGTAGACTCCTAATATAAGACAAGCATGCGAGGATGAGATGTGTGAGAAGAATCACAGATGGCACATACAAAGATAATACATTGAAAATCAACAATGGAACCCAAAAGACCAAAAAGAGAAATACAAATGCAACAAAGAAGATCCCCCATAAACCAACTCAACTACCTCAAAACAACACCCATACAACAAAAGTAGTCTCGTACCAAAACCCAGCTCTCTGACTTCAACCCTTAATAACCAACAGCATTTCTCTCTACTTATTTCCCTTCATGTGCTTTCCTCTGGATTTCTTGGCCTACTTCCTTGGTCTTCTGTCCCACAAAACCAGCCATGTCTTGCATACGCTTCTTAGCTATATCCAGCTGCTCCGGCATTCGCCGAGTGACCTCCTGGAGGTATTTCAGAACCCACGAGAGTGATGACAACCCTGTGAGCCCCATAGCCCCGGAAGCCAAAAATGCCATGACCGAAAGGCCAATAACTAATGCAGCTGGGACAAGAACAGGGCTAAAGATGACAAAAAGAGGGGTAGTAATAGCTAGGCCGATTAGGGTACCTACTAAGGTTATACCAGCTAGTGCAAGAAGCCCACCGCCTACCGGCAGGAGGGTGATCACAGCTAACACTTTCTGAGCTGATGGACCTTTTTGTTGACCTTTGAAGGCAGCTTCATAGCGGTGTTGTGGGTGCACTTGAACTTGGTGTGGCTGTGAACGTTCAGCCATTTGTTGATGATAAGTGTGAGAAAGATATGTTAATGTAGAGAAAAACAGATAGAAAGGCTAGTGATGAGATAGGGAAGTAGTATTTTAAAGAGGGAGAGGGTGGTTTAGGGCTCTGACACGTAAGGTATGAGATGGTGAGTAAGGGCTTTGCATGAGAAACAAGTTTCATGGTCTTTTTGGGGAACAGTAACAAAGAAACTGAAAATCAAGAAAACACGAGAAAAAATGAGGTGTCTTAAGAAACAAGTCTTTACTTGTTGCCACATTGCTTTTGTAGGCTCTGCCTAAATTGTTGTTGTGTGCCTTGATCTATGGATCCAATATTTTACTTGTAAGTCCATTTATTGGCGTTATTTTGAGGTGTGTAATTGGTAGCCACCGAACCATTTCCTCTCTCTTTATGTTTTCAGCAATTTGCAGACGAAAGCATTGGTATATGTTTACAAACCTTCCACAGGCAAGCTTTTTTTTTTTCTTTTTCTTTTTTATTTTTCGAAAACAAATGGAAAATAGTTATTTATCTCTGAAAATTCGTAAATAAAATAATCAAATGTGATTTTAGTATTCTTTTTATTATATTGTATTATCTCTTGTACTTTTGATTTTTTCATTTTCATTTATTGAACACTTTTTTGCTGAAAAAAATGTCTTATGATTAGGGATAAAAGTGGAGCGAGGTATTGGTGAATTATAAGCAATCTGCATATGTATCTGTTTAGAGTTTTATTACCGGAACATTTATTCTACACTTGTTTCAATATCCGTATAAAGTATTCGAATCTAAACCTGTTTAAAAACTCACTATCGTACCTATATATTTGTAAATTTTCAACTATTAAAATCTGAATTTATTTAAAATAGATTTTTACTCATAACAATAGAATAATATAACATTAGATAAAATAAGTAAGTAGTGGAAGTTGAATATAAAATGAAAAAAGGACGCGTGAAATCGTTGGTCATGTATTGCATAAACTCCCATATGTTCTAATTCGCAAATACAGTAGAGGACCTAAAATTGTTTGGAGAAAAGTTATCCCCAAGGACTACAATCTTTCAATATTGAGAATATAGATATGAACGGGATAATATATTCATGCAGTAAATCTTAGTTAGTTGTGTATTTTATGATTTGTCCTATTTATTGGTATTTTAAATGATTTGAAAATTTCCCTTCAAAATTTTTTTTTACAAATAGTATTTAAATTTTTTTTTTTCAAATTATATATATTTTTTGCATTAATACTAATTTGATTATAGTGGATATTTGAAATAAATAATTCATAAAATTTTTTAGTATTAAGATTTCTTTATTATTGTTAATTTATCAAATATTTCAATTTATAAAATTGTTTCAATTTGAATTGTTTTATTGAATATTTTAATTTTAATTTTTTATTTTTTATAAAGAATCATAAAAATTATTGACAATGTAAAAAGATTTGTAACATAATCAAAACTTAATTATAATGTTAGAGATACAATAGATCCTAAAATTTAGAGGAGAACAAAAATTTGGAGGGAAAAAAAAAAAGTATAAGATCAAATTTATGTGGGTGGCCAGATAAGTCCAAAAAAAAGTAAATTTCCATAAGAATTAAACCATTAATGATTAATCAATGAGCTAGTTACCACGTGGCTGAAATTACATGATTGTTTTTTAACGTGTCAAACACATATAAACATCATGCATGCATTCGCTAACCCTAGTACAAATGGACAATTTCATAAAATAATGGATCGTAGAATATATGGATTGCAATGGAAGTTCACATATAATTTATTTGGTCGAAAAATAGAATCTATAGGTTCAAAGATTTTTTTGAAATAAAACTAAACACGTTAAAATTCTATCATTAATAAAAAAAACAATGATGGAATTGAAAATATTCTATCTAAATTCAAACTTAGATCCGCGAATCCATTTAGATTATCCTTGCACGGGTAGAGTATCCGCGAATCTTAAACTATCTAAATCCAAACTTATTGAAAATTTTATTTTTATTAATAGATAAAATACCTTTATAATATAGCGAGTAACATATAGTGGGTAGCCAAAGACATAAACTCGTACCATAATAGTTAGAAATTTCACTATCCGTACTTGTTTCAAATCTATTTATAACTATCCATATTCTCTTTAAACGGATCGGAGTGAGTGACTACCCTAAAATATTCGCACCGCTTTCATCCCTCGGTGGGATCTACGATGGGGATGGGGCACTTGCTCTACTGGTATTTTACAGTTTAGTTTATGGTTTTTAACATTTTAATATATATAATTATATTAATTTATATCTATTCCATAAAATTTTATTTTTTACCCTCCACTAAATTATTACTTTTATATACTGCTCCCATTAATCAGATTTTCTGGAACTGTCTATGATTGGAGACATTTATACATATATATGTAGACTTGGCCACGGTTCCGAAACCGAACCAAAAAGGTCCGGTTCCGGTTCCGATTTGGAACCTTCCGGTTCTGGTTCCGGTTCCGATCCGATACAAAACCGACGGTTCCGATTGGTTTTCCGGCGAATCGCATAATTTTAAATTTTAAATTTTGAATGCCGGTTTTAAAAAAAAATTTATTTGAACATAAAAATTGAAGACGGTTTAAAAAAGAATTATTGAAGCATCAAAATTAAAAAATAACTAAAAAATTAAAAAATTAAGACTTCATAAATTTATTTTTCAATTAAATTTATTTTTTTAAAGACTTGAACTTAATTATTTTTTTAAAAAAAATTTTTCAACTGAATTTATTTTTTATTTAAAAAAGTTTGAGCATAATTTAAAAAAAAAAAGGGCTTGAACTTTTTTTTTTTAAATTTAAAAATATATTAAACGTAATTAAAACTCTAATAAAAATATTAACCATTTAATTCATTAGTTTACTTTTACACGCCTTTGAAAACTATAACACTAATTTTCATATGGATAATAAATTCTAATAAAGAAAGTTTTGTTCAATCTTAATTTATATATATACTAAACGAGGGGAGTTGCACTGTTCACTCCCTCACCACTCCAGCTTGAGAAATTATATAGCAGTGTTGTTGCATTCGAGGCTAAAGTGTATAGTGGATTGGTTGGTTAGCACGTTAGTTGTACATCTGATGGATCAGGATCCGATTCTAAACATGTGTTATTTTAATTTTCTTACTATTTTGCATGATACCCAGGTGTAAATCATGCAAATTTGCTTGGTTGAATGATTAACGTGTCCTTAGCTGAATGATAAGTGCAATAAACAAACAGTGTCCTTCTGTCTCTCTTTTACTTTATTTTTCTCTCTTTTTTGTCTAACAATCTCATCTCCTTCTTCTTTCTCTTCTTTTCCGAAAGAATAATAATGAGTCAATTTGTGACCATGGGTCTACTTGTAGTAATATACGTTCAGCAACACCAACACTTACCCTTTCAGTTGGGAATGATTGATTATTGAATTGAGAAGAATTAGAAGAAGTAGATGAACTAAAATATTGAACAAATTTATTTATATTAACATTATCTTCTATATCAAGATTTAATATTTTACAGTAAAAAGTCAAATATTCAGATAAAACTTCAAATTTACATGTAGGATCAAATACACAAGCAACAAGATAAAGAGGTGGTATGTTTTTAAAATAAGATAACAATTTTTTTTAATTGATAAAATACAATTTTGTAATAAAATATCATTTTCAAATTCTTGAAGTGCACTAACAATATTAATGCATGTAGGTAAAAATAAATGAGATGTGGGATACTAAACCCCACTAAATTTATATGTAGCAAGATTAAAAATTTTTAAAATATCCAAAATTTTTGCATAAATATCCCAATTTTATATATAAAAATTAATTTCTTCAATATTGTTAGTAACAAAAGTGCACAATAATTCTTTATATGAAAAAGACTCGTTTAATAATTCATATGTTGAATTCCAAACGAGTTTGCGACATCACCTTGAAAACGTTTTTGGTCTTTATTAATTTTTCTTACAAAATATTAGCCAATTTCATCACTTGGGATGTGTGCATAAATATTAGAAATAGTTTTTTAATTGAGAAATAAAAAAGAATCAAGAATTTATATAAACCATTTGTATCCATAAATTGTTGAAAGAAACATGGCAAGCAACATCTAATTGAAAAATTTACCACAATATTTTGGTTCCAAATTTTTAAGTTGCAATCAATTGATCTAGTATATGCAGAAGCATATAATGAAATTGAAACATTTTTTTGTCAACTATATCATACTAAATTGAAAAAATTTACAATTAAAATAGTTATTTGCAGTGATGTTGATCAATCAAAAACACGAAAAAACCAAAATTTTTTTTGGAATTTATTACAAGTCACATCAATCCTAATGAAGGTAAAATGCCATATAAGAATGCATGTTGCAATGATTCAACTCAAAACATCAACAAATTGAAACATGAATTTCAATGAGAAAAGTCAAAAGACTACTTAACTTTTTCTGTTTACTACAGAAATAATAGTTCGTTTACAGTTATTTCTTGATACTTTAGCACAAGGATTAAAGTTTTTTGACATAATTATTAAAACCTAATTTTTACCAAAACTAAAAGATAATGTTGCATAAAATTCATTTTTGCTAAATTCGTCTTTTGTAATTTTTCAGAATAATTTAAATAAAAAAGGTAGAAGCGGTACACGGAAATTTGTGTGTTGAGAAGATCACTCCTAGGTTGTTGTTGATGTTGTGCTCCAAATTGCTTCCTAAAATGATCATAGCGCCGCTTGTTTAGAATTATAAGATTTCCACATAATGCAAAATTACCGTACATCTTTTACACCTTAGAAATATGTTTGTGAAATGAATGGAGAATATGTCGCCGGAACTTGTTCTTGCCTTGTAAAAATTTTGTCGTATCTCCTTGCTCTTAGCTCTGCAAGTTCTTAGAAATGCTCATTAAATTCGAATCTGGAGTTGGAATATCCTAAATTTTCATTTTGAAACCTCAAAGAATTAAATTGGCGGGAATCATATACAAAGATCTCGTTGTAGGGATAAGAAGATTTCCAATTTT